GATGGTCGAGTATTAGCTTGTGTTTCCTACCCTCACGAGCTCAAACTTATAATCAATTTTGCGTGTCAAAAGCATGTATATGTCTTTGGCAGATAGTGTCGGGAAATACAAATTTTTCAATACGGTGTACCATAAAACGATATGTCAATAGAACGTCAATGATCAGAGTGAGACAATTTAGAAATAGTAAAGACACCATAAGATAGTGATAAAAAAAGAAACAAAGAGGGTAAAAGAAATTCATCTAAGAAATGTTATTATTTTTTTTTACTATTTTTTTTCAAAATAACGGCAAGTTTTATGAAGCATGAAGAATTCATAAGTCGACTATTATTGTCAAGAAAAATAATATTTCCGAAAAATTTCTCTCACGTACAACACCTTAGTCAAAGCTTGCAAATACTTTCAGCTAGCTTCAAACTATACGCGTAAAGGTCGAAAAAAGATATCATATTTCATATTTGTAAATAAGCAAGGTTTTTAATTAACCAGGAGATTTTAAAAAAGTTTTCGCTTTTTCGGTTCGCTCAGTGCCGCTAAATAGTTTATCATTAAATAAAAAGTGTTAAAAACGAAACCGAATTTTCGAAGCGAAATGAATATGACCGCTTTTAGAGGGACTGGTTTATCAGGCACAAGTTTGTTAAAACGTGCGAGAATAATCAAGATATCCTGCTATTGTATTAATTAAGATAAGTGCCAAACTTCATTAATAAACACAAAAACGATGAACACATATTGCTCTGAGATAAAAGTTATTGGGGCTACTTATCATATCAAACAAGAAACAAATCGAAAGACACGCAGGAAGTTGCTTTGCGTGAAAAAGTACTCATAACTCGGCTATCATTGATGTTTAGCACAACCCACTCTAAATTTAAAGACATATTTCAGCAGAGGTGAATTAAGCTTAGTTGAAGTAGGGTAAGTAATCTCTTTTGCATCTATAAGATCATGTAACAAGTTTCTTTCCTTTCTTTGTTTGGGTTTTGGTGCGGAAGTAATAGAAAGTTGGTCTGGTTCGTTTCTAAAAATTGTGACGACAAAATAAGTTCTGACGGTTACTAAAGGGGGCAACTGTTTCTAATGACGAAAAAAAAGAAGAAAGATTGGCCAATATAGAATTGTAGTTCATGTCTAGTGTGCATACATCGGGGTATGGATTCATGATCACGCAGGGAAGTTTGGAGAGGACGAGAAAAGCGCGATAGTCGCTCGAGGCGCAGCTGAGAATAATGTTATCTGCTTTAGTGCTCTATGACGTAGCTGACACAACTTGTGCACGAAAATAGCGTTTTATTCCAGATGTCGGTTTTACCAGATATTATCTTGTTGTTCGAAAAGTCGGTGCCACAAATATAATGCAAGAGAAAATGATTAAGAAATATTTCTAGACCAATTCGTTATTCGAACAAGAGCTAATTGATAGAAGAGAGAAGCAAGAGTCATTTATTCACTGACCCTATATTCTAATATTTTTCGAGCTTTGTTAAGGTTATTTTCACGACCAGCCTGGCGAAGCGTTCGAGCAAACTGTTCAGCCGGCTCTTAGTGTTCGATTTGTGTAGGTAACAACAAGGTTTTGTACGCAATTTGGTGTTAATAAGCACGAGTAAATGGATTTTACTAAAAAAGCGGTAATGGAGAATAGGGAATATGGAATAGAGAATGGGGAATGGCAGACCTTTTTAATTTCAAGATGGAAGATAAAAGTTATATTTTCGTTTCAGTGTTTTGATACATAACACTTTTGCTATAAAGAAATTCAAAGTTACTTCTGAAAATCAAAGAAAAAACATCCTACGCTCCGTGTGATGAAGAATTCATAACTTGACTATCATTGGTGTTTAGGAGCAGCACCTGTCGACATTTAGTACAACAACTTTAGGAGACATACTCCTGCTGAGGTAAATTGAGGCCGAAATTCGATATTTCTACTCCATCTATAAGACCATCTTAAAAGTTTCATTTTTTCATGTCTTTGGGTAAGCTTTGCATAACAAAACCTCGTTATGGCATATAAAACTTTGTATTTTCCACGGATTTATATTTGGAGACTCCAGAAATTTCAATTTACGAAAATTGGAAACCTCGGAATGAACGGTGTTGTCAATACAAAAGTAAAGAAAACCAATATCTAACATCAAAACTCTTTCGGCTGTTTTAAATTACAACAACGAGCAAACGCTGACAATTACAAATGGGGAAATCATCGAAAAAAATAAACAAATACAGTAGGTAATTTTTGTTTTCGCCTTTCAAGGTGACTCAATGCAATAACCGGAAACGATAATCATTTTTTTTTTAATGAAAATAACTTTTGCCGGCTGATTCTATGGGACCTAGACTGTGTCTCGGTTCATAAAAAGGCAGAAGAAGAACTCAGCCAAAATCTAACTTTCTTTACTCTTTCTTTACACGCTTATTCCAATAACGCATATAAAGTGCAGTGTCACTTCTTAATGCTGTCGATGATTAGTTTTTCGTAACTTGATTGCCAGAACACGTTCATGTGTTTAATATTAATACGTTCAACTGGTGGAGGCCGAAGGAAACTAAAACAAAACCTTTTTGGATTGACTTATCCTTCTTAGATGTAAATTTAGGTATTAATTTGGCTGAAAATCCTTACATAACTTAATCTCAGCATTTTTAACTGTGTTGATAGGTACTTAATCTGTGTGCAGCAATCGGCACCTACATTCACCTCAGAATGAATCCAAAGTTCTGGCTGACAATCATGTTTCTGATGTCCCGGATTGGTGTACTCAACGCTAACAGCCGATGTCATGTAACTGAAAGCTCCATCAACGGAATGTACCTGAAAGGTCACGTGTTTAAAATGTATGGCGATCAGCTGCCTAGAGAATGTTATTTCCGGTGTGAAGAAGAAGTCACGTGTCAGAGTTATAATGTCGTCATTGGTCAAAACATCTGTGAACTGAACAATCGTACAAAGGAAGCAAGACCGGAAGATTTTATGCCGGATCAGAGGCGATTTTACATGAAGCGTTCTAGAAACAGAGGTACCTTTTACGTTTCCTCGACTAACTTTTTGCATTTTCGTCTCTGGGCAAACTTGTTTTTTTAAGTTTTTCATTCACGATTACAGAAAACTCAGAGAAACAAAATTTATATATTTAGATATATTCCTATAGCAAGCCTTTTGATGATTCAATTTCGGGGATTGTTTCAATATTGGTAAAGCATTTCAAAATACAGAGACAAGTCAAAATAAAAGTGACGACGTTTTGGAATCATTGTCTCATCAACGTCATCTTGGGAAGATAATATTTGACTTAACTATGAAGTCAAGCAACTCTTTTCTTTAGTCACCTTGAAAATGGTTTAGCGATGATACCGAAATGCTGGCTTGTTTCACTGCGTTATTGTAACTATAATAACCCTATGCTGTCTTCCATCTCATTTCTTAGTCTAGATCTAATAGAATTAGCACAGTTTTTATTTCTTTCTGCTTTTACGCAGATAGGAAAGGTAGGAGGTTTTTTTTCCTCTCGTGTCGCATCAGGAGGTATCGAACTTCAAGATGGTGTAAACTTCTTACATGAAATTCGTTTTTTCTGACGTAGTTCCCCTCGGATCCATCAAAGAGCTCCCGGCGAAAACCTGTGGTGAGATTGAAGCAAGTGAAGGGAACCAGATAGCTGACGGGAAATACTGGATTTACTCTGAAGAAAGAAGCGAGGTCATCGAGGCTTATTGTAAGGGTAAATTGTTTGACTAAATTAGTGGACTCATTAATAATAATAATAATAATAATTTATTACTCATATAGCGCAGAATACATGTGGATATGATCTAATGCGCTATACAATAAGACTATGCAAAATAAAGTATGAAAACGAACTATAAAAGGCTAAGAATATACAATATGACTAACTAAAAAAAAGGTATGAAAACGAACTATAAAAGGCCATGAATATACAATACGACTAACTAAAAAATAAAAAAACCAACTATAAAAGCAAACATGAAAATGCCTGTCTAAAGAGATGTGTTTTAAAAGTGTTTTAAAACAATTAGGAGCATTTACTGCTCTTATATTTGATGGCAATCTATTCCAAAGTTTAGGAGCAGATGCCATAAATGATCTATCACCTAAAGTTTTTTTAGTTATGATCCTGGGTGGCAATAATTGTGGTTCAGACTGAGATCGTAACATCATATACGTCCGAATTGTTGCTTAACGTTAATTAGATCCGTAATGTACTGAGGTGCCAGCCCGTGGATAGCCTTGAACGCTAAAATAAGTGATTTAAATTCAGTTCTGAAACAGACAGGTAACCAATGCAAGGAAAACAAAGTAGGAGTTATATGACAAGAACGAGAAAGGGAACAAACAAATCGGGCAGCACTGTTCTGAATACGTTGTAACTTGTTGAGATGTGCGGTTGGTAGACCATACAGCAAACCATTGCAATAATCATTACGTGCGGTAATGAATGCATGAACGAGTGTTTGTGTGGAGTCTTTAGTTAAAGATCATCATCCCACTGCCTCCTTAAAGTGTTATCCTATCCCGACTTTTATTTTTAAACTTACCAAAATAATATCTTGTCTCAGTGTTTCTGCAGATAAGTGAATTACAGTAAAAAAGGGGTTTGTTTTAATTAATTCCAATAGAGATATAAACGCGGAGAAGAAGATTAATCAGTGACATGAATTGTTCTTTCTCTTATAAAAAATTGTTTTAATGGCGAATGGGAATAGATTACAATAACTATATATCCAGGTCACGACGCCGAAAAGGACAATGGTTTACCTTTTTTATCACTGGAATATATCTTACAAACGGCTGTCACCCTATTACCATTCGAAAATGTGTTGGCTGAAAGTAGCTATTTTTTTTAAATACAGTTTAATTAACTTTAAAAACTATCTACCTATCCTATAACTTTATCTTAGAGAGCTGGCAAAAGATAAATGGCGAAGAATCCGTCTGCTTTGGAGCCAAAGATAACCAATATGGTTCCTTCAACATGACAAAGAGTGGAAGAGTGAAAACAATGAAGCTTATTCACAGGTCAGGGTCGGTGCGCTGCGGCAATTATATTTCATCCTACTGGGGCTGCACCTACTCAGGATATGGAGAAGATTTGATGACAATCATTACAGATGCAAATAAGAAGGCCATTCTGCCCCCTACCGAAGACTTGAAAGCTCATTCTGATAAAAAAGACCATTACAGCCTTCCTGGATATCACCATAATTCAACTGAGCTGATTTTTCACAACCTCGTCAATCCATTGTCTGTCTCGAGCAACCAAGAGATGCAGATATGGTACGGACAGGATTGGAAGGACTACTTTGAGGGAGACAACAGCGGTAAAACTTGTGTTGATGTGTATGCATGGTATGAGTGAGTCTGCCCACTGGAGATCTTGCCTTCGATAATTTTAAAACGTAAAAGAAAAACATTAGAAAACACTTTTAGGAAGACAAACCTGTTTCAATGTTTAAGGACTGCTATGTCTTCGTTCTATACTTGTAGAAAAAAGAAAGACCGTAGGGATCAGAATAGTTTATTATTAAAATGTCGCTCGAGATCACGGAGAAAGGCCTGATATTTTTCGGTCAATTAGTTTTCCTTAGTTTTGCTCAGCATGGTACACCTTACTAGGTATTGTTGTACACTTCCTTAGAATTCATAGTCGAGAGCAAATTTAACTGTATCAGAAAGTTTAATTTCAATAAATTCATGCACTTAAGTGGTTATTTATAGTGGGATTTCGAACTCAACCTCGATTTCAAAAAGGGAAAAATGGAAGCCAAATAAAACTAAACAATTCCGGAAGGCAAAAGAAAGGAAAGAACACAAAACAAAAAAAAACACTCTCCCGAAAAATACTCTCCTCAGTTCCGTGTATCAAGTCTATTTTTCATCATAACGTCCTTGACCTGTGATCCTTCCTAAAAACTCCCGCAAATAATTCATGGATAATCGACGCCAGGAAAAACCTCAGGGCACTTGACTAAGTCAGTTCCTTCCAAATGTTTTGGTAGAATATTGAATCATTACGCATATTTTTACTTTAATCCTGTCAACAATGAAGAGAAAAATCAAACTGAGCGGCAATTTTGCTTCTCCGACAATGTTGCAGTCTGTGGCGTGGCTTAGTTTTTCTGTTTTCGGCGGAAGTCTAAAATTTGAAAATTGAAAATTGCAATCAATTTTCAATTTTTGTTTTCGGACAAAACATTCCAAATTGTTGACAGAACTACCCAGGAGGGAGGGGGAGGGCTCCATTCGCACGTTAATTTTTTCCCCCACCGCCCTCTCCCCAGGGAGGTCCGCTTCCTTTCATGCGCTGGAAGAATTTATTTGCCCTTGCCACTTCCCCTCCCACGCAACACTTCTCTAAAAAGGAGGAGGAAGCGGGAAATTCGTATTTATCACGTGGTCACTTTTCCGAATATAAACGACTTCAGTGCTGAGTACATAAAGGATTTTGTAATAACTCAACGAAAAACACACTCCGAGGTGAGCTTATTGCTAAAAGAAAGATTTCCCGACAAGAAAGGCATTAGTTCGAGGTCAGTTAGGAGGTTTTGTTTAGAGAATGGGATACATTTGCACAACCGCCTGTCAAATGATGAGCTTGAGCAGTGCACGCGTGACGTCGTTGCTCGGGTAAGTATAAGTTTTTGAGACTTTTAAGTGCTTGTTGTTCACTATTTTCCTCTTTTTTCTACCTTCATTCTCTTGTTTGCATAACCGTCTATATGAGCATCCTTCAGGGTTTAAAAGTAATTTTTTCAGCTTTTTAGCGTGAATCTGTAGGTTTTCAGTCAAGGCTCATTTTTTTTCCCGGTGGTCAATAATAAATGAGCTGTTTGAGTCGGGATGCTGATGATCAAACAACCTCCTCAAATTTGTTAAAGCTTTGATTACACACAGAATGGGGAGACACAATTCCGTCACCATTTAACTTAACTCGACCAAATAAGAAACAAAGGATGACCATCATGGAAATATCAACGTATAATTGAAAGGGTAATTTATATTATTAAACTGACTTGATAACTGACTGTGAATATATGCATATAAACCCACATACAATCCACAATTCCTCCAATCGCTCTGACGAGGGGCTAAAGCTCTAAACGTCAGCTTTTCATCTCTTTACGGTGGCCAATTGAGTTGATAACGTAGGAATTAAGAGTGCCGAGTCGGGATACCCACGGATCCCCACGGTATCAACGAGTGATTTTTATTCAATTAATTTATTCTTGTTTCCTCGTCACCATATTCCAACCAATAGCGTAGTTCCATTTTCTGCATATAAACCCATACAACCCACAATTCCTCTAATCGCTCTGACGAAGGGCTAACGCACGAAACGTCAGCTTTTAAGCCCTTTACGATGGCCAATTTACGTTATCAACTTAGTTGACAATATTAAATTACCCTGTTATACTCTACCTAGTTGAAAGATCTGGCTCCAGTTGTTCGAGGGTTGGATAACGAGATCCCGCCGTGTATAAATCTCTACCCGGTGGATGGTTGAGAGTCGCTCTGTGTCAATGATAGCGTATAGACACAGATTTTTAGTCTCCGTGTTGTGTCTTATTTTCCTTTTAAATATCCATTCTACGGCGCTGAAATTTGTTCCGGTGTTTTATAAGTCGATGCACTTGCCAATAGTACAATTTTCTTGGCATGGTCTTGGTTCAAGTGACTATACGAAGCAAGGATATTTCTCAGCTCGAGCTTGGGTATATGAACATTGGTCTTTCGACATTTGGATATGGCTAAACTGCGGTGTCCCAAGGGATAGTCGTTTATGGTCTGGAACAAATTGTCTCGCCCTCGCTACAATGGATTCTATATGGTCCAGCTCTCATCGATGTAAACAAAGGCACAAGCGTCCGCGATATTACAAAACGCCAGTCAGTTCTTATTACAGCAACTCCATTGCGACGCAAGGGCTATTGATCCTGAGTGGTGATAGCACCCAGAAGTCAAAACAAAAAACCAATTCCAAGCGAAAAATAATGAAATGTGATTGCTGTGAGAAGATGATAAGAAGAAATCAAGCAAGCATAACTTGCTGTGCTTGTATTGGGTCTTTCCACCTGAAATGTTCCGGCCTGACAGCCTCCTCCTCTACCTGGTTATGCAGTAACTGTCTGGGATTTGCCCTGCCCTTTTACAAGTGCTCTGACGCGGAAATGCTGGATGATACGCTCGATTTGTCCGCATCTCTTGATCCTGGCCTTAATATTCATCCGTTCTGCTTTAACTCAGGCCAGTTAAAAATAATGCATCTTAATACTCAGTCCATGGTTTCGACATTTAATGAGCTTTTACTCACTGTCAATTCATATCCACTGGACATTGTAGCATTGAGGGAAACCTGGCTTAGAGATCAACCGCAATTATTAGACTATGTTTCTATCCCTGGCTTTGTTACGGAATTCCAGAACAGGGAAGGTATAAGGGAGGTGGTGTTGGTGTTTATATTAAGGAAAATATCAATTATAAGCGCCGTCGTGACATTGAATATGCCCACCCAGAACTTGAACACCTATGGATAGAGGTGCCTGGCCGCAATAAGTATGGTAGGGCTCTTGTAGCTGTGATCTATAATTCCGAGCGCATGCTCAGTCCTTCTGATTGGCTACATAGTTTAGAGAACTTACTTGGATACCTAACTGTATGCTGGGATGGCATGTTAATGCTTACAGGAGACATCAATATCGATGTTCTTCGTCCTTCTGACCATCTAGCACAAAGGTATCAAAGTATGCTAGATATGTTTGAGCTTACACAGATTGTGAAACGGCCCACACGTACTACGAGGACCTCCAAAACCCTAATTGATCACTTTATCACCAACCATCAACAAAAGGTGACCATCACTGGTATAATTCCATGCTCTATTGTAAGTGACCACAATGCCATCTACGCATGCGTCAATGTACGGCTCCCTCGGTTCCAGCCTCGTTATAAATTTATCAGGGACATTAGGAACTTTAACAAGGACGTGTTTAAAGAGGACTTTTCTACTCTTCCTCTGTCTGTTATATACTACTCAGATGATCCAGACGAACAACTAGAGACACTGAATACACTAATTTCCGAGTGTCTTGAGAGACACCCCTTGCGGAAGGTTCGTGTCACGCGACCACCCGCCCCATGGATGAAGGACCCACTGATAGAGGAACTCCAGAAAAAACGGGATTCTGCTAGATTTACTGCTCACCAGACCAGCACTGATGCCGCTCGGCATGAGTTTCATTCGGTCAGGAATAAATTAAAGTCGGCAATAAGAACTGCGCGGAAGGCATTTATTGAAAAAGCTCTCTATTCAAATAAGTGGCGCGAGGTTTGAGTTTCATTCAGTTAGGAATAAATTAAAGTCCGCAATAAGAACTGCGCGGAAGGCATTTATTGAGAAAGCTCTCTATTCAAATAAGTGGCGCGAGGTTTGGAAAGTCATTCACAGAGTGCTAAAGCCAAGTGCGAGGCCCTACGGTTTGATCCGGACGAACTTAACGATTTCTTCGCGACGACTGCTCAGAGAACACTAGAGACTCGGGCGACTCTAATAGAGGATCTCACGTGCCTGATAGATAACCTGCATGACGTCCCCTCTGAGGGTGTGCGTTTTCAGCTGTCACCAGTGACAACGTTCTCCAGGTCATCAAGAATCTACGATCGGATTGTTCTACGGGCGCGGATCAGATACCTACCCGCTTCATCAAGATGGTTGCTGAGTGCTGGGCAGTCCCTCTAACATCTATCATCAACAATTGCATTGCGAAAGCTTATTTTCCAAAGCAATGGAAGATTGCTCGGGTGTCTCCAGTTCCAAAGATTGACAACCCGGTCTCTAACGATCAACTCCGGCCCATCTCAGTTCTTCCTGTTCTATCCAAGGTCTTCGAGAAGCTTGTGGCGATTCAAGTGACGAATGATGCGGACCACACCCATCTTCTTCACGATCGCATCTCTGCTTTCCGTAAAGGGCATTCCACTATTACAGCCTTGTTGAGAGTTAGAGACGATATTCGCTATGCCATGAAAAGGAAAGAGGTCACGCTTATGGTGTTAACCGATTTCTCGAAGGCTTTTGACACCATACCCTTTAGCGCGACCTAGTTCTTGCGATGGAGCATTAGAAAGGAATGAACGACCGCTGACCATAAAAAAACATATTAGCTGGTCTTCATCCCAATTCCTTTAACTTTGTCCCTTTCCTCAATGGAGAGCGAATCCTTTAACACGCCGCCGTAAGGTTATGGAAGTAATTAATGCCGTGACGATTGATCTACGCATAGTTAGACGAATATTTCACATACATCTGAATTAAGAGCTCAATAGCAGATGACGTAATGATGAACTCCACTACAAAATCCACAAAGTAACTTTAAATCTACTTTTAAAAATCGTATCAAAAGGTATCAAAACACAAAGCTAAAAATATCAGAATATCAGATTCTTTGTCCATCCTCGCCAAGTAACATCAATTCCTATGATAAAATATAAAACAAAATGATTAAAAAAAAAAAAGAAAAGAGAAAACGGATTAAAAAAGTTATTTCAAAATTCAGTTACATGGTGTTCGAAAGAAACAATATGTCTCAATATTTTCAATCGCCTAAGAGTTTCAGACGATTTTGGCTTTCTATAACGACGATGTTCTCATTGTCTTGATTGTAGTTATGTCATAGTCGCTCGGGAAACTGAGATGATCTGAGAGATTATAAGGAGCCAGACTTTATTGAGGGTAGGAAAGATTAGTTGCCTTGTTTCTTAGGGCAAAAGGAATGAAATAAGCCAAAAATGTTGAAAATCATAACTTCTTTACTCCCAACTACAAGTAAACTACAGCTACGAAGTAATCCAGTATTATTAACTGAGTTGATGACGTAAATTGTCTACGCAAAGAGTTTCAAAGCTAACGTTTCGAGCCAACAGAGAGAACTGGCTGATTTTTTCCCATTAAAAGAAAAAAAATAATACTCACATCATTCTGATAAGTTCCAGAGAATGCGGCTTTTCCAGAGTCCTGCTTGCTTGTTCTTCGGATTCCTGTTTGGTAAAACCAAGAGATTAAGACAGCTTGACGACAAGCTGATTGACAAACTGAACGAATGAAAGACCAACCGACCGACTGCCAGCCTGATTGAGTCATTGACTGACTGAATGACCAAGAGACCGACCGACTCACTCGCTGACTAACTGATTGTTATGTTCTGATTGATCCATATTCCAGCATCTTGGTGATTTTTCTTTTCGCTGATGGAGGCGTGCTTTGGGAGCCAAGTGACCAGCCGAGTAACTATCTGGTGCACTACATGTAGCTGGATGATTTACTGATTGATTTGTTTGCTGGATGCCCGCCTTTCAGGCTGATTGACTGAAAAACTAATTGATTGACTGACTGAGTGAGTAGCTGACACATTGTCTGTCTGACCATCAAACTCAAACATACCTGCGTGAGTGAAGCACTGAACAACTGGCTAATCAGTTGACTGCTTGCCTGCCTCTCAAGCCCAAAAATTTACCGCCTGGCCAGCTGCCTGCCTGCCTGCTTGAATGACTGACTGACTGAACTACTGACTAACTGGTCTCCAAAAACAAACCACATGTCATTGATTGATATATGAAAAAGTAGATCAACTACCAAACTAAGGAGTGTGGACATCAACCGGAAATCTCTTCCAAATAAACGCACGTGCATTTAGAAAAAGGCACCCACAAAATGCGTATATACGTCACGAACCTTCCCCACTCTCAAATTCGCTCGAAGACTTACATCTGTTACAGTTGCTTCTGCCGTCCAACACGGAGATACATTTACAAGTTTCTCCGTTTGGACTGTAGCGAGACCGTCACGTTTAGTATACCCAATCTCTACTTTGGTAGATTTTGTTTTCCTGTGATAGACACGAGTTCTTGCGGCAGCATTTGTTTCTCCACCAGAGGGAGAATTGCCCACATCAAATCCTAGTTTTCCAGGAATATTAAATCTGTTGTGATGCTCGAGTAAGTTTGTGCTTCTAAAGTTCTTGACCACAAATGAAGAAAGTTCGTGAGACTTTTGGCGGCTTCTGTCTTCTACATAAGTGTCTCCAAAGACATCGTTTTTGCGCTTGGAACATGAGCTTTTGTTGTTTACGAATCTGACCGAAGGTCTTTCGAACTCAGTACCAGGACAAGTAATATTGATTCCTACTGGCAAATAATCCTTCTCATTACACTTTTCTTTTTTTTCTGAAATTTTCCCAAAGAAAGATTTGTCGGGGTTAGCAGAGTAGACGTGGGCCTGTCCAAGACCTATTTACGTTCTTCTTCTTCTATATCATCAGTGCATGCATTTCCTTTAAAAACGGCACACGTCTCGTTCTGTTGGTTAGTTGATTTAGGGTATCCTGTGGCAAGAGGACCCTCCATGAAATTTTCTAGAGGCAACTGGTCTTCCCGACGAGATTTCTCATTACTTGTCACCTTTTCTGTTTGAGAACAATGTACATTTCCAGTCCTCGGAGATGTTACATTCTCCTGTTTGCTCTAAAGTTATTTTGGTGAGGAAGCAGTTACAGTTGTTCCCTTCTTTAAGAGTTCAGTTCCAGAAAAATGTTGCTTTTTAACTTCCACGTCAACGTATGGCTTGAAGTTATACTCAGTAGGAAACGAAATGTCTGCGCAGCTTCCAGCATCTGGAAATAACACAACAGAGGTATTTGAATTTATTTTGATCGATAAAGGTTTTCCCAATAACATTGTCAAAGTTAAATTAACTGCCCTATACACCTTCCAGGGAGATGCCGGTTGAAACAAGTCTTGCTTCGTTCACTGCGCTGCCTGCTGTGATGTGGCAATAAACAAGTACATAACACAAAAACGAAACAACTCATAATTCTGTGTATTTTGAAAACAAAATAAAAGAGATAACACTTAATGGTGAGTTAACCAAGTTAATTTAAACAGTCAATTGAAGTTAACCGGTTTTACCGAAACATCGTGATGTGGCCGCTTTTTTGGCGTTTTATCGAACTGAAACTGGGCTTACGGTAACCACAGTAATTCATTGAAGAACAATAAATTTTACAACCGAGTTTGGTTAATGTTAAACTACCTTTCTGCGTAGTTAAACTCTTACCAGTGCCGTGCATTGTTCTTGTCGCAAAATGTGTAAGTCATCGCGGTGTGTGTGGGGAATGTTGTTTTACGTAGGAGAAATAAGTGCATAAGCTTATGAACATGGCGTCTGGTAAACAACAGCTACAATAAGAAGATACATTACTCAAGCGCAACAATCCGCTCGCCACATAATTCTCCATCGGTAAACTGCTGCTCAGAAGCGAGAGTCATAAATATTGAAAGAATACGGCAAAGTGCTTGAAAGGACTCGATGTTTTATACGAAAGGGCTCTCTACAAAAGTCACGCATAGCAGGATTAGTGCTTGCCTCAAGCCGTCACTGATTTCTCGGACAGATCCAATATCAGGGACGATTCAACCGACGGCAATGAAGAATACTCTGACATCTACGGCAAATTAACATCACGGTCGAAAGAACTGCCTTGGAAGTTTGCGTAGTGTGCAGGGGAGAGAAAGGAAACGAAAAGAAAGAAAGAAGCGAGAAAATAACAACGTGGTCCTCGAAGCCTGCATACTTTTGGTTTCCCCCCCCCCCCCACTCAAAACAGCAGCACGAAAACCTGATACGTGTCGATACGTGACTTTGCCAAATTCTACAACATTCGTTGATCTCAGACTTACTTCAGCCTATAGGTTTGCATACTAGGAGGGTCTTAATCAGGACAATCAGGGGATAACCGTTAGCGGGCGGTCAGACAAAGTATACGTAACGATTTCTCGCCTTACTTCATGATCGATATTCAGGGAAGTGGAATGACTTCAAGCTATTTATTTATTTACTTGAAATAGTTAAAATAATCGCCTGAATTTCGAGGTGTTTGCTGCAACTAGCAAAAACAAAAAACTCAAAGGCAGTCCATCTGGGTAGTCCATGTACTAGGGGTTAGTGTTTTGTTCATCACCCGGAATATCACCTGAGGAAATTCTGCTGTACATGTGATACACACACGTGATGGTCGAGTGTTAGCTTGTGTTTCCTACTCTCATGAGCTCAAACTTATAATCAATTTTGCGTGTCAAAAGCATGTATATGTCTTTGGCAGATGATGTTGGGAAATACAAGCTTTTCAATACTATATACAGTACTACCGTAAAGCGGTATGTCAATAGGACGTTAATGACCAGACAACTCAGAAATAGTAAAGAAGCCATAAGACAGTGATAAAAAAACAAGCAGTGTAAAAGAAATGCATATTGTTGATTTTCACCAATATAACGACAAGTTTAATGAAGCATGAAGTATTCATAAGTCGACTATTATTGGCATATTTAGAGGAACACCTGTCCCACTCTGTACTAACTGTCGCACTCTGCAATAAAATTTTCGCACTTTGTCAGGACAGATCATCGTCAAAACTTGCGAATACTTTCAGCTTGCTTCAAATTATATGTGTAAAGATCGGAAAAAAAATTATATTTCATATTTGTAAATAAGCAAGCTTTTTAATTACTCAACTTGTAAAAACTCCCTGAGGTCTGCTATTGTCAGACGGAACCCGTAGGAGATTTTAAAAAAGTTTCCACTTTTTCGGTTCGCCCAGCGCCGCTAAATAGTTTATCATTAACTAAAAACTGTTAAAAAAGAAACCGAATTTTCGAACCGAAATGAATCGGACCGCTTTTAGAGAGACTGGTTTATCAGGCACATTCGCCTTCCGACCAGCTTTACCAAATTTATTTCAAAGTGCGAAAAGCGCTGTTACAAAGTGCGACAGCCCTATTAATACAATGTTCAAGTGTTACTGTATTACAAAGCGCGACAGTTATTTAATAGTGCGGCGATTATTTCAAAGTGCAAAACAACAGACCTCTATGCCAGCTTTGGTGCAGCCATTTGCAAGAAGAAAAAACAAAAAGAATACCTATTTGTAAAGTTTGTAAAAAACGTGCGAGAATAATTATGATATCCTGCTATTGTATTAATTAAGATTAGTGCCAGAATTCATTAATTAAATATTTCAAATATTCAATATTATTTCAAAGTACAAAACAACAGACCTCTATGCCAGCTTTGGTGCAGCCATTTGCAAGAAGAAAAAACAAAAAGAATACCTGTTTGTAAAGTTTGTAAAAAACGTGCGAGAATAATTATGATATCCTGCTATTGTATTAATTAAGGTTAGTGCCAGAATTCATTAATTAAACATAAAAGTTATGAAAACATATTGCTCTGAGAGAAGAGTTATTGAGCCATCTATCATATCAAACAAGAAACAAATCGAGAGACACGCAGAAAGTTGCTTTGTGTGATAAAGTACTCATAACTCGGCTATCTTTGGTGTTTAGCACAACCCACTCTAAATTTAAAGACACATTTCAGCAGAGGTAAATTAAGCTTAGTTGAGGTAGGGTAAGTAATCTCTTTTGCATTTATAAGATCATGTAACAAGTTTCTTTCCTTTCTTTGTTTGGGTTTCGGTGCGGAAGTATTAGAAAGTTGGTCTGGTTCGTTCATAAAAATTGACGACAAAATAAGTGCTGACGGTTACCAAAGGGGTTAACTCTTTCTAATGACGAGAAAAGAGAAGAAAGATTGGCCAATATAGAATTGTAGTTCATGTCTAGTGTGCGTACATCGGGGTATGGATTCATGATCACGCGGGGAATTTTGGAGAGGAGGAGAAAAGCGAAATAGTCGCTCGAGGCGCAGCTGAGAACAATGTTATCTACTTTAGTGCTCTATGACGTAGCTGATACAACTTGTGCACGAAAATAGCGTTTTATCCGAAATGTCGGTTTTACCATATATTATCTTGTTATCCGAAAAGTTGGTGCCACAAATAAAATGCAAGACAAAATGATTAAGAAATATTTCTTGACCAATTCGTTTTTCAGACAAGAGCTAATTGATAGAAGAGAGAAGCGAGAGTTATTTATTCACTGACTCTATATTCTAATATTTTTCGAGCTATGTTAAGGTTATTTTCACGGCTAGCCTGGCGAAGCTCTTTCGCTCTTCTATCCAACACCTGCTTGGACGGTACGAAGTAAAATCTCTTTCCGGTACATTGGGACGGCTGTAGTCCTTGTTCTTCAAGGCGATTTAGCGATAATCATGAGCTTTCTAGGCCATATTCTATCTCATATTTGTTTCGGCGTAAAACCGCTCGAGTGAACTGTTCAGCCGGCACTTAGTGTTCGATTTGTATAGGTAACAACAAGGTTTTAAACGCAATTTGGTGTTAATAAGCACAAGTCAATGGATTTTACTAGAAGCGGTAATGGAGAATAGAGAATATAGAATAGTTAATAGGGAATGGCAGACCTTTTAGTTTCAAGATGAAAAAAATAGTTATATTTTCATTTCAGTGTCTTTGATACATAACACTTTTGCTAAAAAGAGATTTAAAGTTACTTCTGAAAATTAAAGAAAAAACATCCTACATCCTGTACGCTTCGTGTGATGATGAATTCATAACTTGACTGTCATTGGTATTTAGGACCAGCACCTGTCGACATTGAGTACAACCCACTTGACATTTGGAGACATACTCCTGCCAAGGTGAATTGAAGCCGAAATTCGATATTTCTATTCCAAACATAAATTGTCATCGAACTTTAAGAAAATTGAAAACCTTGGCGCCGTCAGTACAGAAGTAACGAAAACCAATATCTGACATCAAAACTCTTCCGGTTGTTTTAAATTACAACAACGACCAAACGCCAACCACTGCTTAAGGAAAAATCGTCGAAAAAAATAAACAAATAGATCACTTTTTTTAGCCTTTCAACGCGACCCAATGCAATAAGCGGAAACGGTAATCTTTTTTTAATAAAAATAATTTTTGAGGGCTGATTGTATGGGACCTGGATTGTGTCTCGGTTCATAAAAAAGCAGAAAAAGAACTCGGCCAATATCTAGCTTTCTTTACTCCACGCTTGTTTCAATAACGCATATAAAGTGCAGAGTCACTTCTTACTACTGTCGATGATTAGTTTTTCGTAACTTAATTGAACAGAATCGAACACGTTAGTGTGTTTAATGTTTATGCGTTCAACTAGTGGAGACAGAAGTAACGAAAACCAATATCTGACATCAAAACTCTTCCGGTTGTTTTAAATTACAACAACGACCAAACGCCAACCACTGCTTAAGGAAAAATCGTAAAAAAAATAAACAAATAGATCACTTTTTTTAGCCTTTCAACGCGACCCAATGCAATAAGCGGAAACGGTAATCTTTTTTTAATAAAAATAATTTTTGAGGGCTGATTGTATGGGACCTGGATTGTGTCTCGGTTCATAAAAAAGCAGAAAAAGAACTCGGCCAATATCTAGCTTTCTTTACTCCACGCTTGTTTCAATAACGCATATAAAGTGCAGAGTCACTTCTTACTACTGTCGATGATTAGTTTTTCGTAACTTAATTGAACAGAATCGAACACGTTAGTGTGTTTAATGTTTATGCGTTCAACTAGTGGAGACCAAAGGAAACTAGAACAAAACCTTTTGTATTGATTTATCCTTCAAGGTGTAAATTGAAGTATTCATTTGATTGAAAATCCGTAACTAAGTTTATCTTAGCATTATTAACTGGGTTGATAGGTACTTTATCTGTGTGCAGGAATTGGCACCTACATTCACCTCAGAATGAATCCAAAGTTCTGGCTGGCAACCATGTTTCTGATGTCCCGGATTTGTGTACTCAACGCCAACAGCCAGTGTCATTTGATGGAAAGCTCCATTGGCGGAATGTACTTGAGAGGTCACGTGTTTAAAACGTATCGCGATCAGTTGCCTAAAGAGTGTTATTTCCGATGTGAAGAAGAAGTCACGTGTCAGAGTTACAATGTCGTCATTGGTCAAAACATCTGTGAACTGAACAATCGTACAAAGGAAGCAAGACCGGAAGATTTTATGCCGGATCAGATGAGATTTTACATAAAGCGTTCTAGAAACAGAGGTACCCTTTACATTCCCTCGACTAACTTTTTGCATTTCTGGGCAAACTTGTTTTTTTAATTTTTCATTCACGATTTAAGAAACTCAAATATCAGAGAAACAAAATTTATAGATTCAGATATATTCCTATGGCGAGCCTTTTGATGATTCAATTTCGGGGATTGTTTCAATATTGGTAAAGCATTTCAAAATACATGGACAAGTCCAAATAGCAGAGACGACGTTTTGGAATCATCGTCTCATCAACGTCATCGTGGGACTTAATTATGAAGTCAAGCAACTCTTTTCCTTAGTCAACTTGAAAATGGTGTGACGATGATATGGAAATGTTGGCCTGTTTCGCTGCGTTATTGTTGCTGTGTTCCATCTCACTTCTTAGTCTAGATCTGATGGAATTAGCACAGATTTATTTCTTTCTGCTTTTACGCAGGCAGGAAAGGTTGGAGGTTTTTTTCCTCTCCTGCCGCATCAGGAGGTATCGAACTGCATGATGGTGTAAACTTCTTTCCTGAAATTCGTTTTTTCTGACGTAGTTCCCCTCGGATCTATCAAAGAACTTCCAGCGGAAACCTGTGGTGAGATTGAGGCGAGTGAAGGGAACCAGATGGCTGACGGGAAATACTGGATTTACTCTAAACAGAATAGCAAGGTCATCGAAGCTTATTGTAAAGGTAAATTGTGTAACTAAATTATTCATTCATCACCCCCCTTGACGTGTTCTCCTAACCCGACTTGTTTTTTTAAACCTACCAAAATAACATCTCCTCGCAGTGTAAAAAGGGAATTATAGTAAAAGAGGGGTTTGTTTTCAGTAATTCCAATAGAACTGTAAACTCGGAGAAGAAGATTAGTCAATGACGTGAATTGTTCTTTTTCTTTTTTTACAAAATTGTTTTAGTGGCGTATGGGAATAGATTGAAACAACTATTCAGATCACGACGCCGAGAAGGACAATGTTTTAACTTTTTTATCATTGGAATTTTCCTGCAAATGGCTGTTAGTTACCATTCGAAATGCATCGACTGACTAGCTATTTTTTTATTAATAAAGTTTAATTAACTTTCAAAACTATCTACCTATCCTATTGCTATATCTTAGGGAGCTGGCAAAAGATAAATGGTGAAGAACCCGTCTGCTTTGGAGCCAAAGATAATCAGTATGGTTCCTTCAACATGACAAAGAGTGGACGAGTGAAGACAATGAAGCTTATTTACAGGTCAGGGTCGGTGCGCTGCAACTATGAAACTAATTCATCCTACTGGGGCTGCACTTACCCAGCGTATGGAGAAAATTTGATGACAATCATCACAGATGCAAATAAGAAGGCCATTCTGCCCCCCGCCGAAGACTTGAAAGCTTATTCTGATAACAGAGAATACTTGTACAGTCTTCCTGGATATCACCATAATTCAAATGAGCTGGTTTTTCGCAACCTCGTCAATCCGTTGTCTGTCTCGAGCTACCAAGAGATGCAGATATGGTACGGACAGGATTGGATGGACCACTCAGAGGAAAACAACAGCGGTAAAACTTGTATTGATGTGTATGCATGGTATGAGTGAGTCTTCCCACTGGAGATCTTGTCTTCGATAATTTTAAAACGTAGAGGAAAAACATTAGATCATAAAAAAACACCATTCATGTACAAGATCCCGGGTAACACTTTTAGGAAGAAAAACCTGTTTCAATGTTTAAGGACTGCTATGTCTTCGTTCTATACCTGACAGAAAAAAGAAAGACCGTAGGGATCAGAATGGTTTTTTATTAAAATGTCGCTCAAGATCACGGAGAAAGGCCTGATATTTTTCGGTCGATTAATTTTGCATAGTTTTGCTCAGCATGGTACACCTTACTAGGTAGTATGGTACACTCCCTTAGCATTCATAGTCGAGAGCAAATTTAACTGTATGAGAAGGTTTAATTTCAATAAATTCATGCACTTAAGTGGTTATTTATAGTGGGGTTTCGAACTCAACCTCGATTTCAAAAAGGGAAAAATGGAAGCGAAATAAAACTAAACAATTCCGGAAGGCAAAAGAAAGGAAAGAACATAAAACAAAAACAAACAACACCCTCCCGAAAAAAACTTTCCTCAGTTCCGCGAATCAAGTCTATTTTTCATCATAACATCCTAGAGCTGTGATCCTTCCTCAAATAATTCATGGATAATCGACGCAAGGAAAAACCTCACCTGCGGGCACTTGACTAAATCAGTTCTTTTCGAATGTTTTTTTTTATTAGTGAAGTGATGTATTTTTCAAAAACTATTAATAGGGAAAAATTATCTATATATACATATATATATAAATTTTCACAAAAAAAAGGGCTGACGGGTCCGCGTGTCATTCGTCCATTTAATTTTCGTTTAAACTCAAAAGTGCCAAATCGAAAATTTTTTCCTTTTTCTCCTTTTGACAAAATATTGAAACACAAACTTATATTTTTACATCAATCCCGTCAACAATAAAGAGAAAAGTGAAACTGAGCCGCAATGTTGCTTTTCCGACAATACTGCAGTCTGTAGCATGGCTTAGTTTCTCTGTTTTCGGCGGAAATCTAAAAATTGAAAATTGCAATCAATTTTCAATTTTTTTTTCGACCAAAACATTCAAAATCGTTGACAGAACTACCTAAGAAGGAGGGGGAGGGGTCCATTCGCACGGTAATTTTTTGCCCCTAGCGCCCTCTCCCAGATCCCCTTCCCTCCATGCGAATTTTTTCTAATTCTGCCCCCCTCCCTCCCCTCCCACGCTACACTTCTCTGGAAAGGAGGAAGCGGGAAACTCGTATTTACCGCGCAGTCACTTTTCCAGACTTGAACGACTTCAGTGCTGAGTACATAAAGGATCTTGTAATAACTCAAAGAAAAGCACGCTCCGAGGTGAGCTTATTGCTAAAAGAAAGATTTTCCGACAAGGAAGGCTTTGATTCGAGGTCAGTTGGGAGGTTTTGTTTTGAGAATGGGATAAATTTACACAACCGCCTGTCCAGTGCACGCGGGACGTTGTTGCTCGGGTAAGTATAAGTTTACTAGACTTAAGTGCTTGTTGTTCGCTATTTTATTCTTTTTTCTACCTTTACTTCCCTGTTTGTATAGCCGTCTATATGAGCACCCTTCAGGGTTCAAAATAATTTTTTAGCTTTTAGCGTGAATTTTTTAGGCTTTTGTTAAGGCTCATTTTTTCCCGGCTGTCAAAAAGAAATGAGCAGTCAGCACATGTCTTCAACACTCAATATGATTTATCAACAGTACTGAAAGGAATTAGACATTGAATGCGTACGTAACAGCATCAGAATCTTTATTTTGGTCAACATGTTTTGTTCAAGCGTGATCACCAACTCTAGAGATGAATCGTTAAATGTAACTCTCGCCTTGGACTGAACGTAAATCACATTAGCCGTTTCTTCCAAAATATATCTGCCACTAGTTCTTAGAATGTAGGAGGTCCCTTCACATTCTTGTGTGTTATTTCCGTAGGAATAATCTTCGCAAGAACGCCACCTTTTCGTCTTGCATTACCGAAAAGTGGTAGCCTGGAAGAACTTGCTTGAGAGCCAGTAAGAGAGCCACCATAAGTGAAGAAATGACTTAATTGGCCCGTATGTTGTTCAGCTATCTTTAGGATGTTTGATGGCGAATTCGTCAAATCTTCCCCCATGACAAGAAGAGAAGATTCATCGTCAAAATGCAAGACATTAAATCGTTCTGAGTCAGTCGGCCAGTACGTCATGTCTCCAAACTCCTTCCTCAAGTACAACGAATTCGTTTCCAGCTGAGAACTACAACTTTCCTCGTTTGCTGTTTGCAGTGTTGAAGATTTCACCCCCAATACAATTGTTCACAGGGTAACCACAGTTAAACACGATCTAAATTTTGTTTAAGATTACTTAATCTTGCACTGTTGCAGTTATGTCATAGGGCAATTTTGCAAGACTCTAAATGTAAATACATGCAATGTGTATTGCCTAAAAAGCTCAAGAAAGCCTCAAAACTGTCATATCCCCCGCTGCTATTCGTAATTTAAACACTTTTCCGTCCTTAGTCAAATCAAAGGTTTTATTGCTTGCCATAATGTCGGCGAACGGACAGTCCAAAAGAGTGCGAATTTTTCACTTCCTTCGCAGACCCCAGGCGGGCATGGGGGGGGGGGAGGGGCAGGGGGAGGATGGTATCAGAAATTTACCCCCTCCCTCTCCCTCTCCCTCACCTTCATTCCAACCATGTTTTACAGTATGGCCTGAAAAGTCGATATGGGTACATCACCCGCTCCAATATGCTCCAATACTAAGTCTAAGATCTTTTTAACTTCTTAGCTAACGTCCAAAGTCTAGCAGCTCGCTGTAATGGAAAGAACTGAGGAAGACGCTCCAAAACATCGTAAAAGACCGCGGAGAGAGTTAAACTCTCACTTCCTTCAAACGTCTTAAACAAGGAAACGGACCTGGCCATGGGGAGAGGGCTCAGTTTCATTTTTCTCTTTATTGTTGACAGGATTAAAGTAGAAAATAAGTTATGTTTCAATATTCTATCAAAAGGAAAAAAAGTAAAAAATTTTCGATTTGGCACTTTCGTATCAAAAATTGACATCAATTTTCAATTTTTGATTTTAAACGAAAATTGAATGGACGAATGACACACGGACCGTAGACTGCCCTTTTTACACATTTGTGATGATGTGCAAACTGTCCTATTGCTGTTTGTGCTCGAGTCGGGATTCTGATGATCAAACAAACTCCTAAAATGCGTTATAGCTTTGATTACACACAGAATGGGAAGACAAAATTCCGTCACCATTTAACTTAACTCGAACAAATAAGAAACAAAGGATGAACATCATGGAAAAATCAACGGATACTTGAAAGGGTAATTTAGAATTATTAAACTGAGTTGATAACTGACTGTGAATGTATGCATATAAACCCACACACAACCCACAATTCCTCCAATCGCTCTGACGAGGGGTTAACACTTTTGATCTCTTTACGATGGCCAATTGAGTTGATAACGTGGGAATTAAGAGTGCCGAGTCGGGATGCCCACGGTATCCACGAGCGCTTTTCATTCAACTAATTTATCATTGTTTTCTCGTCACCATATTCCCACCAATAGCGTAGCTCCATTTTCTGCACACAACCCACAACTCCTCCAATTGCTCTGACGAAGGGCTAACGCTCGAAAAGACAGCTTTTAAGCTCTTTACAGTGGCAAATTTACGTTATCAAATCAGTTGATGATACTAAATTACCATGTTATACTGTACCTACTTGAAAGATCTGACGACAGTTGTTCGAGGGTTGGATAACAAGATCTCGCATTGTATAAATCTCTACCCGGTGGATGGTGCAGTACAAAGCAATTTATCAGTTTAAAAGTAGACCTTAAACGTTAACAACTTTGAATTTTCTCTTTCTTCAAATTCCCACTGACTCTCTCTAATGGTTGGGGTTCAACGGAATATGCTTGTAAACTAGAGCACTAGCTGAGCCCCAAAGTAGGATGGACGCAAGCAAAGCCTCTCTGAATTTTATTTGGAGGAAAAAAAAGGCCAAAGAATGACAATTATTGTCGGCTCATTAACGAAAATAGATTCACATGATGATTTGGCGCAGGATTTATTGCCGTGCGCGTGCCTCATGGGAAAAGTATATTGCTAATGTATTTAGCCTCTCTGTATGAATTTTATGTTCCTTTTTGGTCAAAAAGCTAAATTCTATGATAATTGATCATCATGCTGACTCAATACTCGTTGAACAGGAAAACTGTAATTTTCCAGGGTTGTTTTGACACAGAGAGAAATGCTTCACTAGCTTCATTTGGATAATATTGCTCTCCTCTGTAGATTGGTAACAACAATGGAAATAATGCAAACCTCACATCTCCTTTGCGCTGTGACTCTCATCGGATCGTGCTAGTTAACCCTTTAACTCCCATGAGTAACCAAGACAGAATTTCTCGTTACAATATCAGTACAATATCAACTAGATAAGTGATGAGAATAAAGAAAAATATCAATTTGGGAATAATTAGTTGATCCAATACTAAGTTCTCTGAACTGACATGACAAAAATTGAATGGTTGACAGTAAGGAGAATTACAAATTTGATCCGGGAGGTAAAGGGTTAAGGAAGAGATGCGCCAGGAATACCATTCTATCAGTTCCTCAAGGGTTTAAGTTGAAGGAAAACAGGTTAGAAACTTTCCTACAAACTTCTAACCATTAGCGTGACAGACAGTACTAATTTTCGTGGTCAATCATTAGCTGCTCGCAGTCGTCTGCTGTCGACGTTTTGATGTATACCTTTTAGATATCTTTTTGTACCAGGAGGGAGGGGTGACTCTGTTATTCTCTTGTATGCGCCTCCGTCGAGACACCGCTGCCAGTAAGAGACCACATATCAGCATCAGAAGCGCTTCGCAAAGTTTGCTTAGTCTAGCGTGAGGACAGTAACAGTAGCTAACAAAGACAAGGTATTACAGGCTCCTAGTGGGTCTTTATTGACTAATTTGTCATGAGTGTGAAAGCTTTGTTGTCTATATTGTTAAGAGTTCAGCTATGCACTGTCTTGTGGAAGTGTTTGTTTGTTTGAAATTTCACTGAATAGTATCAGCCTAGGGTCTCATACGAAATATTTAAATTCCGAAAACGCGCAGAGGTGGTCTCTTTGAACGGAGCCACAAGACCTCTCTCCTTTTATCAGTTTTTTACTCAGGCGTTTGGCTTTAATGTTGTGTGTTTTACTGGTTATACTACGGGTGCAAACGTCACCTTGCCCACGCCTGCATCAGTATCAACAAAAACAACAGAAGTGGTCACAGTTTCAACCCCATCAGCTACCAATTTAAGTTCAGAACCTGCTTCAAAGACTATCCATGTAAGCTATACTAAAGCGTATGCGTTAAGGCCACAAGATCCTTCTCCATCCAATTCTCTCACTACATACACAATGGAGCACAACGCTCCCCCCCTCCCCTTAACGAAAGCCCGACAATGGTAATCAAGTATGTTCATCAGTGAATGAAGCATTTTGTCCCAGAAACCCCAACTAAGGGTCATGCTGCACCCCCCCCACGATCACGAACAGCCTTTAGGTACACATACACATTTGCCAGATGAAGCCCATTTAAGGGTTCATGACATTGTGTATCAAGTCCTTGAAAAAATTTCTGCGCCTAATTTTTGTGAGAGTCGAGTGCATCTCTGAGGCAATTCACGCTCTAATTGAGTGAGAGCGTGATCACTTGTTACAAAGTGGAGAAATGTGTGAGAAGCTACGAAAAGTTACGGCCCACTGTAGAATGTTATTTAAAGGATAAAAATGAGAAATGTCCAGCCAAGTTAGGAGGACATGGGCTATAGAACATTGAACCTGAAGAAAAAACAGAAAATTGTGAAATATTTGTTTCATCGCTGAAAACCAAAACCACGAGTTAATGATCTTTCCTGAAATCTGTTCTTAGTAAACCTTCGTAATGTATTACAACGAATGTATTATTCGTAATTTATTATAACGAATGTCAAGTCGGTTACAAGTAGATCAGTACTTCGACGCAATTAGCATTATGTTAGTCGTTTTTGATGTGTTTCGTAGTTTTATTTCGGAATAAGATTATTTCATACCAGAAACCCTGCCGTCTGATTTTCTGACTGGTGTTCTCAGTTTGGAAGAGAAGGGAAAAAGTTGCAGCAACTGTTATACAGAACAGAAATGTATTTCTTGCGATGGAGCATAAGAAAGGAATGAACGACCGCTGTCTTCTGACCATAAAAAAACATATTTGCTGGTCTTCATCCCAATTCCTTTAACTTTGTCCCTTTCCTCAATGGAAAGCGAATCCTTTAACACGCCGCCGTAAGGTTCTGAAAGTAATTCATGCCGTGACGAATGATCTACGCATAGTTAGACGAATATTTCACATACATCTGAATTAAGAGCTCAATAGCAGATGACGTAATGAAGAACTCCACCACAAAATCCACAAAGTCACTTTAAATCTACTTAAAAAATATTTCACTACATTTTTGTACTCTCACAGGTATCAAAATATAAAGCTAAAAATATCAGAAACTGCTTTGTCCATCCTCGCCAAGTAACATCACCTCCTGTGATAAAATAAAAAATAAAACGATTAAAACACAAACAAGAAAAGAGAAAACGCATTAAAAAAAAAAGTTATTTCAAAATTCAGTTATATGGCGATCGAAAGAAACAATATGTCTCAATATTTTCAATCGCCTAAGAGTTGCAGACGATGTTGGTTTTCTATAATGACGATGTTCTCAATGCCTTGATTGTAATTATGTCATAGTCACTCGGGAAACTGAGATGATCTGAAAGATTATAAGAAGCCAGACTTTATTAAGGGTAGGAAAGATTAGTTGCCTTGTTTCTTAGGGCAAAAAGGAATGAAATAGGCCAAAAGTGTTGAAATATAACCTCTTTACTCCCAGCTACAAGTAAACTATAGCCACGAAGTAATTTAGTATTATCAACTGAGTGGGTAACGTAAATTGACTATCGTAAAGAGTTTCAAAGCTGACATTTCGAGCCAACAGAGAGAAGAAAATCGGCTAAATTTTTATTCCCATTAAAAAAAAGTTAATACTCACATCATTCTGATATGCTCCAGAGAATGCGGCTTTTCCAGAGTCCTGCTTTGCTTGTTCTTCTGATTCCTGTTTGGTAAAACCAAGAGATTAAGACAACTTGCTGACAAGCTGATTGACAAACTGAATGAATTAAAGACCACCTGACCGACTGCCAGCCTGATTGAGTCATTGACTGACTGAATGACCAGGAGACCGACCGACTCACTCGCTGACTAACTGATTGTTAAGTTATGATTGATCAATATTCCAGCATCTTGGTGATTTTTCTTTTCGCTGGTGGAGGCGTGCCTGGATGTAGCTGGATGATTTACTGACTGATTGATTGATTTGTATGCTGGATGCCTGCCTTTCAGGCTGATTAAATGAAAAACTAATTTATTGACTGACTGAGTGAATAGCTGACACATTGTCTGTCTGACCATCAAACTCACACATACCTGCGTGAGTGAAGCACTGAACAACTGGCTAACCAGTTGACTGCTTGCCAGACTGTCAAGCCCAAAAATTTACTGCCTGGCCAGCTGCGTGCCTGCCTGTTTGCCTGACTGACTGAACTACTGACTAACTGGTCTCCACAAACAAGCTCCATGTGATTGGTTGATACATGAAAATGTAGATCAACTGCCTTCCTGCCTGCCTAACTGATTGACTAGTCTCCACAACCTAGCTACATGTCATTGATTGAACATGAAAAAGGCGATCAACTACTAAATTAAGGAGTATGGACATTAACCGGAAATCGCTTCCAAATAAACGCACGTGCATTTAGAAAAAAAGCACCCACAAAATGCGAATATGCGTCACGAACCTTTCCCACTCTAAACTTCGCTTGAAGATTCACATCTGTTACAGTTGCTTTTGCCGCCCAACAAGGAGATTCATTTACAAGTACCTCCATTTGGACTGCAGCGACACCGTCATGTTTAGTATACCCAATCTCTACTTTGGTAGATTTTGTTTCCCTATGATAGACACGAGTTCTTGCGGCAGCATTTGTTTCTCCACCTGAGGAAGAGTTGCCCACATCAAATCCTAGTTTTCCAGCAATATTAAATCTGTTGTGATGCTCAAGTAAGTTTGTGCTTCCAAAGTTCTTAACCCCAAATAAAGAAAGTTCGTGAGACTTTTGGAGGCTTCCGTCTTCTACATGAGTGTCTTTAAAGACATCACTTTTGCGCTTAAAACAGGAGCTTTTGTTGTACACGAATCTCGCCAAAGGTCTTTCGAACTCATTATTAGGACAAGTAATATTAGTTCCTGCTGGCAAATAATCCTTCTCATTACACTTTTCTTTTTTTTCTGAAATTTTTCCCAAAGAAAGATTTGTCGGAGTCAGGAGAGTAGACATGAGCCTGTCCGAGACTTGTTTACGTTCTTCTTCAATATCATCAGTGCATGTATTTCCTTTAAAAACGGCACACGTCTCGTTCTGTTGGTGAGTTGATTTAGGGTATCCTGTGGCAAGAGGACCTTCCATGGCATAACTGAAATTTTCTTGAAGCAACTGGTCTTCCCGACGAGATTTCTCATTAATTGTCACCTTTTCTCTTTGAGAATGTAAATTTCCAGCCCTCAGAGATGTTGCATTCTCCTGTTTGCTCTGAAAGTGTTTTGGTGAAGAAGCAGTTACAGTAGTTCCCTTCTTTAAGAGTTCAGTTCCAGAAAAATGTTGCCTTTTAACTTCCTCGTCAACGTATGGTTTGAAGTTATACTCAGTGGGAAACGAAATGTCTGCGCAGCTTCCAGCATCTGGAAATAACGTAACAGAGGTATTTTATTATATTTTGATTGATAAAGGTTTCCCAATACCTTAATCAAACTTGAAATTAACTGCCCTACACCTTCCAGGGAGATTTCGGATGAAAACAAGTCTTGCTTCATTCAAGTTTTGCATCGTGAGCGAGCGCATTTAAAAGTTCCAGGTTAGTCACTGGTTTGAAATGAACTTCTGATCAAAAAGTTGCCTATGTTTCTGTCACGTTTGAATGAAATTAGTGGAGGTTGCGAAAAGATCGTACCAGTCTCTGAATCGTTTTGAAGTAATTGAAAGTTTTTAAGAATGATAGATTCAACTGCGTGGTTGTGAGGGTGAAATGTGAGAGTGAATGGAATGCGATCGGCATCTTCTTTCTGAACCGTTTGTAGTGCTGAATGTCGATCAATTTGTTGGGCACGGCGGTGGCCCGCTTGAACGACAGAAACAAGATAACCACGTTTATTGAAAAACTAGCACGTTGCCTCTGATTTTTCAGAAAAATCAGAGTCGTCACTACATAAACGACGAAGTCTGAGAAACTGTAAAAAAGGTGATTCCTATGTGAAAGGTAAATTTCTTTGTCAGAAGTTCGTTTCATGGCGACGGCATAGGGCCAATTTGCATTTATGCAGTTCAATGGAAGGCAAGAACAAACCTGTTTTCTTATCTCCTTGTTGAGGCAATAAATTTGCAAAGGAACACTCTGGCGCCAAAAATGGATGCGCAGCAGCTTGATAAGGTGTAAGTCTTTCACCTGAGATCGTGATACAAAGCAAAGAACAAAGGTTGGTTTTTTGTTTTTCACGTGTCAGTGCGTTTGGCATTGTTTTGCAGGATAACGACTGTAACAAACAAAGTGTTTCAAGTAAAAGTTACACAAACTATGATAATTCCGTATACTTACCTGGTTTATACTTCAGCAAGCCAACTAAGAAACGTGCAAAAGAGAAATTTCTTGAATTATGGAGTTTTAGCATCACATTAGTCACACATTTCAGGTGATTGTCCTCTAAAAGCAATGAAAAAAAAAAAGTCTTAAGTGAGTAAAGAGCCTACATGTGTTGATTCCTACAGTATTTTCTATGTGGGATTTTTTCCCATAAAAATTTATTGTACTTATAGACGTTTTTGTTGATTCATTTTTTGGGAGCAGAAAGAGTTGGAAAGGTGAATGAAAGGATACTTTTTTTCTGGACATCTCATTGTGCATGATGTTTTTTTTCAGAAATCTTCCCATGTATGAATTATTTTAAATTTTCACTTGAACCACCTCTAAGCATCGCTCTCTTTCCGATGGTTCCTCCCTCATACAAAGGATAAGTCGTCTTTTGCTATTTTGCTAATGTATCTTAACTCTTTACTTCATAACATCAGTATGCATATTCTCCATACTACTCTCTAGAAATTTCCTAAGGCTCTGACAAGGAGAATTTGTTCAACAATCAAGAGCTTCTTTAGTAGGTGATCATCTCCTTTATTCTCATGACCTTGATGTTTGATTCAGGGGTGATGTTGTGTGGAGAAATTGGATGTTAGTCACTCTTAGGAGTTAAAGGGTTAAATCAATTGTTTATTTAAGTTGTGTACCTGGATTTATAAAATATTTGCAGAGACCATTTAAATGATGTTGAGGACTAAGTAAGGATTACCAAAAAAGTTTGAGATAACTTGATTACATTTGAATCATCTTAAACTTGAATTTAGCTGAGTTGTGGTGACCTATAAACTGTGACAAATCTTCAAAACATTTTCCAGTATGGAATTGACTCCAGGGTATGGGACCAAGAATACTGGTTACCTGCAACCAAGCAAGAAAAAGAATTGGAAAAAATTGATTGAACTTACAAAGAACAGTACCCAGAAGGTCAAGAATTGCAAGCTAATTGCAATTTTGTTTGTATTCACACTTCCCCAAAATAGAGGAAGTCTAAATAAAGTGTAGCCAGAAAGGCAGTTACTGCATTCTTATTAGTGTATTAGTTACCTTAGGTCATAAACAGCTTGTATAAGTGCCAATAATAAAAAAACAAAACAAAAACATACCTCTTGCAACACTTTAGTCCTATTTCCTCCCAGAAATAAAGGTTTGCCTATATACAACTGAAACCAATGTTCATATTAAAAGGACATTATTTCATTTCCTCACCAGTAACATTAATGGCTGGGTGAGTTCTCCTCCCCCCTTACAGAAAAATATCCATCATAAAACTGCCAAGTATCATCTCTTATTAGCTCTGACTGATGGTATAACAATCATTAACGATATTTTAATTATGGTGAGAACATACAAGTCAATTAACCAACCTCAGCTACAATGCATCCCAAAGACCAAATGTCAATCTCAGGGCCAAAGGGAACACCAAACATCACCTGGAAAGAATTGACACAGTGCTTTCAGTTTCAACTGACTGCCATCAACATTATTAAGTAGAGGACACTGTACCTCATTGCATTAAACAACATTTAGTGGGACCTTCTTCCACAGACTGAACTTTAAAATTCAAGTGTCCAACAAACACTTAAAAACAGCCCTAATATGTACATCCCCCATCTATTTGCACCTGACATACAGTCATGGTAAAATAATTGTGTGAATTTAAATATGTTTTCTGATACATTGCTTGAGATGATAGTCACCACAAAACAGAATTTTCCATCTGCAACAGGCCAACCACATTAAGTTGTTTTATGAAACACAAAACTGCAGAACTTCACTGATCATCTTTCATAGAGTACTTCAGTTCATACAAGTCCAAATAAAATAGTTTAATCTAGCTTTATTTGCCTTGGATTGATTAGGAAAACACTGGAGTTACATGCATGTAACCTACATGTAAAATTAATTTTGTCTCCAAATTCATGAAAACAGCAATATCTTTACTTTACCTCAGGAGCTCTGTAAAGTAAAGTTTGTAGTTCAAACTCATCATAATACAAGGAAACCTGACAGAATTAAACAGAAGAAAATAAGAATTAAATTAAATATTTTGAACATTTATCATGTCATTACTAATGGTGGCTGACAGAGCTCCAAGCTCATTTTTCCAAAGAGTTGCCTTTTGGCAACCTTCAAATTTAAAATGGTCGCCATTTAAAAATTTTTGGCTGCCTCTTTTTTCTTTTTTCTTATCTGTTAGTCATCAATTAACTAAAATGTTAAAATGACTAAAATGTTGGCAAAAGTCACCAAATATATTTTCACTTGTCAAAGTGATCAAAATGGCTGTAGCTTCTCCCCTTCAGCTGCCTCACATTTTCTTATAAATTACTTATGAGAATCTGATACTTGATCAACCTAAGAACTTCTACCTGATAAGTTTGTGTATTCTCATTAACTATTTGCTGGATAAAGTATGGATATTCTAGGGAGAAGTTACATGTTAAAGGGGTAAGCACATAGCACACAATTCTCTGTAAACAGTTTTTCACAGCTGGTATGAGCCCTTGCCCTCTGAACAGAATTTGCCTTTCATTATACTTAGAATAGGATCTTGAACCCTTTAACCTCTAAGACTGATCAGCTTCTAATTTCTCCTTACATTATCATCCTTAAATCAAACATTAAAGTCACAGGAATCAAGGAAATGATCACCAACCTATAAAGCTCTTGATTTTTAAAGAAATTCTCCTTGTCAGTGCTTCAGCAAATGTATGAGAGCAGTAAAGAGAATATGCATATTGATGTTAGGGTGTAAAGGGTTCATAAAGTCTGCAGTACAACAATTCTGATGCATCTAGCTGCACACATTTAAAATTAAGTCACTAAAATCACCAAATAATAGAAATAACATGTACCTCTCTATGAACCCAGTGAATTGCATTTCCAAAGTCAACAACTTTTATCTTGGTTTCGTCACCTACAGTGTGTTAATATAATATACAATTTTAGTACACACCAAACAAGTAAATAGTGCTTTTTGCATGTGCTGATTGGCTGGTTCCATTCAGTGAATACTAAGTACTATTCACCTCCATGCAGCATGTGAGACAAAATCACATGTTAAGAGTTTGATTTCTGACCAGTTTTTGGTATATTGAAAGAAATAAACTAATTTTTTGGTATCTATGTGGTATATACTAACAAATTTATTCACTTCTGTCAGTGTCAGTGAAAGTGGTGGATATTCACCAAGCTGCAAAGCAGGGAGGTAAATATCCACCACTGTTCACCTTCAGGTCTGTGACTAAAATTGTTAAATGTACAAAAAGTTGTTTTATTACAGTGTATTAACAACCAGATCTCTCAATGGAGGTTGGCTGTCAGAAATGTAAAAAAGGTTACGTCCATAAAAGGTTTAGTCCATAAATTCCAAACCTACTGCTCCCATGCATCAAAATGTTTGCAACTAAGACATGGGGCCCTATACAAGGCATCCAGTCACCATCATGATGACAGAAACAAAAATGGGATGGTATATTCATGATGTTTTTTGTTAGGCAAATAATTGTAGCTGATATGAACTCTGAGTATTCATCAAAGTAGTCTTTCACTGACCACTATATTGCATATCTTCAGAATCTGTATAAAATGTTGGTCTGTTTTTCTTACAAAATGCTATGTACAACTGTTATTTATATTTAACCAGATCAAAATATTACAACTATCTTTAAAAAGGAAGACTTTTTAAGTCCATTAAGTTAAATCAAATTTTTTGACAATTTGTTGCAAACACCCTACTTCACCTTCTTCAAAAAGAATGTTCTCTGGTTTCAAGTCAGCATGGATGACATTCTGTCTGTGGATTCATATGGAAAGTTGAATGAGATCAATTAAAGCACATAAAATCCTGAAATCAGTCCCTCCTCTCAAATGATCACTCCCCTTTGAAAAAGATCCCCTTTTATTTGCCAAAATGCAGAATAAACATCCCACTTCCAACCTGCAACAACATGGTGGCATCACCAAAAGATGGGCACGAGAAGATTCCCTTAACAATGAAATAAAATGAAGCCACTTGTGGGTACAGATGAGTAATTCTAGAGAGTCTAAGAAGAACACCTATTGATAATCTTACCTCCTTAGGAATCCAAGAGCTTGTAAGAGCTACAAGCAAATAACCACATCAATTTATTATATGAAAAAAAACTATTATTTTGATTTCAATAAATTTGATGCACAACAAGTTTCATCTTCATTAAAGCTAACTTTAAAATGGTCTTTGTAAGTTCTTATAGCTGACAAAAGAAAACTGATGCAATTGTATTTGAAATAAATTAAATCAAAAGTATTTATAAGAATTTAAAAAAAGGTTTGCTCACTTGAAAAGTTATTTTCCTGATGACTTTCAGTTCGTCATCCTAATAGTAAACAAAATCAAGAAAACACTGTTGAGTGACTGATATTACAGAATGTACATGGTTAGATGTTGATCTTGCCAAAAATATGTATATTAAATCAATCATGTTGTTAACAAAGGTGACAATCAATTTAACAATGAAAACATACAATGCACAGATGGTAATACATTAAACACTCTTACCTCGTTATCAAACTGACATTTCTGTGAAGAAGATGATTTAAAATATAATACTTACATCAGTAGAGATACAACAGTACAAAGTAGAATAATTGATTTAAAGGGAAAGCTCTTGGATTCCTTAATAGCATGTTTATAATTCAATAAAGCCAGTAAATTTCTAAAGCAAACAATGGCACTGTATTAGTGGGAGAGTATGACAAGGTAATTTGGTATTATTAACTGAGTTGATAACATAAATTAGCCACCATTAAGAGTTTCAAAGCTGACATTTCAAATGTTAGCCCTTCACCATTCCCTTTGACAAAGGGCTAATGCTTGAAACATCAGCTTTGAAACTCTTAACAGAGGCCAATTTACATTACCAACTCAGTTGATAATACTAAATCAAACTGTTTATAATTTAACCAACCTGAAAGTATTGATGGAGTGGCCGAGGTCTCAACAGCTCAAAAACCAAGCAGTAATGGCCCTCAAAACTGAAAACATTCTAAAAATCCACAAGCAAATATGTCAAATTGGCAAAAATGCAAGGTCAGTGAACTGGGTCCTCTACATAGAATACATTCTTGTAGTCATGTACCAAATATATCAGTGCTATGTTATAATTATTGTAAAACAAAGAACCAATTGGAAATCATAATATTAAGACTGTGGTGTTTTACAAGAAAAGCTGTAACTGTCAAGTAAATTACAATAATTTTTCATGCATGTTTGATACTGCCAACTAAGTGCTAACTCAACTAAGTGTTGACATGCAAAAAACCTAGTTTGCACCACTCTATCAAGTTGATGGATGAAAGGCAAAGCATTCACCATTCTCAATCCAAGGTCATTGGTAGAATTGCCTTGTCAGTTAAGGCCAGTGGTGTTTAATAATGTTGAGTTTACATCATTTTTGTCCTTCAGTAGGGTCAGTTTCTTCTCTTTTCATGATTTTTCATATGGTATCAAAAAGGTGGAGTGATACTTACGGTGACTGTATAAAATCAGTCCAATTTAACAACATGCAAATATTTTGTTTCATGTGATTCAGTACTAAAAAAAAGGATTGTACATTCATGACTTACAAACAACTGGACAGTTCTGGGAACATGGAGAGGATCAGCCTTGTTGAGCTGTTGAATGCAATCTGCCTCCTACAACAGTTTTGTAAATAAAAAGTAAACTCATGTAATACAAAGTAGATAGTAAGTTAATCTAATTTACCTTGCAGGAAATCAACCCAAAGATCTTTGCATGAACATGTACACTTCATCTTGAACAGTTTCCACTGACAATGTATACCTCATGTCAAGGTACACATGCTTGCATACAAGCTCTTTTCAGTAGATGCAGTTTCAGTAGCACTCTCAGCTCTGCATATAACAGATTTATTTGTAGCTTGCTTGTCTGAAATGCACCTTATCACTTACAGCTGTATGCATATTAAACTCTATAAACAGATACAGTGTACCTGAGCTCCAAGTCTGGAATAATCCAAATTCATTATCTTTATAGCAACTTGCTTCTTTTCAAAATGGTATGTATCCTTTACAAAGAAAATTACATGAATGTTAGCTTTGGTGAATATACAAGCATACTGTGTGAACTGAACAGTTTTTATCCAATCACAAAAAAGCTCCATCACGAAACATTGTCTTTAATAGAAGCTGAGATTGGAATTAAGCAACACAGCCCCTTGGATTTCAAATGTTTTGGTCTGTTTCTAGAAGGAATATGGGCCTTTGAAGCTATGGAAGAGGTTATCTTAATTGAAACATATGATACACCTCTGAATTGCATTTCAAACACCTTTGAATGTCTTATCCCATTTAACTCCTTAGATCAGATTGTTAATTCTCCCCTCTAGTTGCTGCAGCTTTTCTATTAAACTATTACTAGAATTTGGTGTTAGATCAAGACAACAACTTCTTCCTGATCAGTTTGAGTATCTCATTACCTGTTTGCTATATAATGTAAAGATATTGAAGGGAGAAGTTACTTTTTGATCATTTCTAGGAGTTGAAGGGTTAAGAGGCAAGTTTTTAACCATATGCTGAAAGTAATTAATAGGTTCTTCAAAAATGATGTTTTACAACACTTTCGGAAAAAAATTCATATAAATGTAGGTATAAAGTTGACAGGTATAACAGGAGGTACTGGTATTTTCCAGAGACAGTTACAGTAATTAAAAACCATAATTTCCAGTCTGTATGTGTATTTTGTATGCCTTACCTCTGCTGAAATCAAGAGCGATGATTCCCCTTCACCAATAACTTGAATAAATTTGTATTTCCAGCAAGTAATGGAACTATCAGAAAGAAAATTATAAAGAAGAAATCAATAGCAATTAAAATTGAAAAAAAAAAAAATGTATTCATTTGATACATTTTGCCATAACAATTTATTTTTGTATCATATTATTTTCTTTAGTTCAAGCTATACATACTTAAAAACCTTTTTTAATTCACTGTTTTTAGATTTTGAATTCAAGCTTTACAGAAACTGATGCTTTTATATAGTGATTGGAAATCTTCAGTGTAATTGATGCAGCTACTGAACTGAAACAGAGAAGTTACCTGGATAACAAGGCTTGAATTTGCCATCTTTGCCAGTCTGTGATGCTAGTACTGGAGCAAAAAAGGAAAAAAAATTAAATAAAAATGTCAACACAGCTAGTCTGTGTACACATTCTGGTTCTCCCATGTTGATTTTTACATAAAGCAAATCAAAACTAGGCTGCAGAGTCATGGGCTGATGTGCAATAATATATCAACTGTCCTCATGATCAAAATAAAAAAATAAAAAAATCTATCATCCACTTATTCTTTGGGATTAGATTGAAACATGACTTGTCTGGCGTCTGCACAGTATGCAAGAAAAATTCCACACTTGATTTCCCCATAATGGAAAAAGATTTTTCCTAGTCTTCTATTGAGAGGTTTGACTTATTTGCACATTCAAATACTTTTCCTATTGTTTGCCTCCTTTTCAAATAAGTGTAAAGAGTTGTACAAGTAATATGTACCAAAATACACCCAGTAGATGAATCAGCCGATGATGAGTCTCCCTGTTAACTCAATAGAACTTAGGAGAATGGCAGTGAAATTGGCAGCACTGTAGAATCATACTAAACCTTTTTGGTATTGTAGCCGCTCTGAGCAATAGAGTTTCTTCCTTACACAAGCCTTGTTTTTTTCTTCAAGCTTTTGATATAGCACCCTGAGTCCCCCTGACAGTTGGGTACTGATAAATCTCTCAGGTGGTTTAATATATCCTCTGTAATAGCTGCCAGTTCCCCTGAAATTCAGAATAAATAAAGTAATTATCTATCCCAGTTTGTTCTTAACATAAAGCACATAAATTATGTGCAAAAGTAAGGGCAGAAAATTATTTTTTCTTGTATTTGACTCAGCATTTAAATTATTCCAATTGTGTGTGGCACCATGGGTTGCGAATGTAGTATGTGTGAATCTAGAAGAACTGAACTGTGAATGTGTGAATGCATGATGGCATTTATTTATGCATAGAGTAGTTACCATCATTATACTCAAAGGGTTTTGCTCTTGAGGCATGTTTCAATTTGCACAACCAGTGCATGCAGACTTCAGGTTTCAAGTACTAGACAAGTAGGTATTATCCATAGTACCAGGTATGCAAAGCGGACGAGATGTGAAGTTTTGAGGTAAAATAAATTTGATGCACATTTAATAAGTGTACCTAATCTATTAAATTCCTTCCCTGTCCCCAGCCTGTCAATTGACCTGTGTACAAACTCTGTTCTAAGTTCCCTTTTGTCACAAGTTTGACATCCACATGAGCTTTTCATTAACCCTCTGCATTTTAAACCACACTAGGTTTAAAGAAGGCACGAGCCGTCATAGACTGCCTTTCAAGCGGAAGCGTTAGATGAACCCCATCAAAGCTTGCGGTTCCGAAGTCAAACTTCTCATCCTTGATATACAACAGTGGTACTGAAGAATTCATCATCTCTATGACTGCTGCAGTAATCTTTCGATGTCATGTTATCCTTAATTCTTGTGAGACACGGATCCTTTTGGATTGTGTGAAAGAAAGTCGGAGATTTCCGAAAAACTCCATACTCATGATTCTTGGATAAAGCCGTGGTGTTAAAGGCAATCTATTGTTTTCGCTATTGTTTTCTTTATCCAAGTATGAAGCTATGCGGAAATCTTCCCATATTCTCTTTCTACAGTTCAAAAGCTCGACTTCTTAACCAAAAGTAACTGGGAGTGGAAGTCAAATTGCCGAGTGTCAGAGAAACTTACACACTAAGTCAAACATCGATCCCCGAGGGAGAATCGCATACCTTTGGACGGCAATTGGCGCAAAAGCTCCTTCCAAACTCGACATTTCAGCTACGGAAAACTCTCCTCAGAATTAAATGATCCTCTTTAGTCGACGAGAGTACAACTGATTGATCGATCGCCCGATCGACGAGAAAATTGTGGCGCAAAATTTCAAAACAATCTAAAATTAGCAAAGGCGCCATTTCCCCATGATAGTAGTTACCAGACCACCTCAATTTTAAAATTTAAACGGGTATATGGTGTTCTGTCGCAGTCGCGTCGGAGCTTGAAAGGAAAGTCTTTGTGGAAATCAAATGCCTCTAATTTCATATATGCTAACTCCCTCGGATTATCGGGGTGTCTCGCTTATACAGAGTCAATCTCTCGTTCTTCCCTACGGGTGACCAAAACTCCCGGATCAAAGGAAGTTTGGATCAGTTGCCCGCAAAAAACTTTTGCGGGCAACCGATCCAAACTTCCTAAGATTTAAGCTCCATATGTTCCAAAATTCTAAAATCATCTGGCTTCCTATGCTTGTATTACGGTTTCTGGCTTCACTTTCTTGCGCGATGCACGTTATTTGTTGCGAATAAAAAAGAAAAAGTTTTTTTTTTACTCCTGAAAAGGGGGTGGTAGGGGAGACAGACGCTTCTCGTACCACGTTCTCTCGCCTCCCGTACTTTTGTGCCCGTTTACCTCCCGACTCCCACCCTTCATAGTATCGCTCCAGTGTTCAGGTTAATCAAGAGGATCAGACACCCGGGTGTAACTTTCAAACTGTGCCAAAACTTAACATTCTTGTTCATTTTCTGGTTCATTTTTTTGTAAATTGGGTCCCGATGAAAGTTATTACAGGTCAGTTTTCTTAATTAAACTAAGTTTCACTAACCTGGTTATCACAGTTTGACCATCGCTTCTGACATCTCGTTATAGAGACGAAAGTCTCAGTCCACTGTGTAATGTAATAACTATTGCAAAATTTTCTTCTTAACATTGGTGGATGTTAAATGGAAATTTCAAAACTTTGCTAGATGAGTGTTTTTGACTGAATAATACCAAGTAATAAAGAACAAACTATTGCTTTCTTTATTTCTGCTCCCGCTTCCCACCCTCATATAGATCCCGCTTCCCGCCCCCTGTTCTCCCGCTTCCTGCCCTCTTCCGTCCCCTCTTCTCCCGGGCTCCCGCTCCCCTGTCCCCTTCCTCTATATAAGCGAGAGTCTGATTGGATGAGCATTCAACCAATTGAAGACCCTGACAGATATATCCACGTTTTTCCCGCAAAATTGCTTGTAGGGGTCCAAATCAAAAATGAAATTACCCGGAGGGGGCGCATTGGCGAATTCGGTCGGGAGGGGTGCTAGTCTGAAAAAAAATCTCCAGATTTGAGTTGGCATCTCTGTAATTTAGTTGTGCAAGACGAAGCCTTCCTAAAAAGGTTTGTGAAAGGTCATATTTCTCACATACATTGTATTTATCAAAATATTTTACCTTATAACTATAGCCTGGGTAAGAGTTCAAACCATAGCCACCCACCTTTTTACTAATCAAGGTCAAACAAGAGTGTCCCTTTGACAGTTAACATAAAAACAACAACACTATTATCCATATAATTTAAATCCATCAATTTTCTTGCACCACTAAATACACCTATTAAAGACACTGACTCACTGACTAAAATACCAAATACAATTTTCTACTTAAATCATTTTTATCCTCCCTGTTTTACCATTACCTATGCTATGGAAAGTTATAGAAAGTTTTGTTTTTATTGAGAATTGAAATTTAATCATTTGTCCCAAGATGTAAGAGTCAAGCTAATCAACTGTGTATTGATTGTGATGTTGCAACTGCTATGCTTCGTCAGGTGAGTAAGTTGAAAGTTGATGTGTGGCTATTTGTAACACCTTGTTATTGTTAGTGTTTTGGTGCGCTGTCATTGATGCATTTTGATCCTCATTATTATTCTGAGAACTGGAAGTTGTTCCCTTAATAGGTTCACTTTGTTATCGGCTACCATGCTTTTTGATAGTAAGCCATCCACACGTAAGGAATTTCAATTCAGTTATCTCCATTGATGTTATTAGGATTAAATCTAATGTGGTTGGCTTCTTTAACCCTTCATGTGTTACAAGGAGAGTCATGGTCAATATACCGCCGTAATTCCCGGTGGGCTCACTCCAGTTCTCCAGCCCCTGGAAAAGTGCATCAGTAAGCCATTCAAAGCAAAGGTCCGTGCGTAGTACGAATCCTGGATGGTTAACGGTCCATTTACCTACACGCCTTCCGGAAAGAAGCGAGCGCCCAGTAAAGAGATGGTGTTGTGGTGGATCGATCGAGCATGGAGAGAGATCCCAGTTGAGTTGATAACGAGATCGTTAAAATCCTGTGGCATCAGCAGAACTCTCGATGGAACTGAAGATGATGCGGTTTGGGATGATGAGGAAGAAGAAGCAGAAGACACAGAAGAGCGGATTGACAACGAGTTCGAGACAGACAGCGAAGCCGAAGACGACGAGTAGCTGAGCTCAGCCGAGCTTTCAAACAAACGGTTCTTTTGAGAGCCACCCCGGTTCTTTTTAGAACCAATAAATCAGATAAAGTCAGAAAAAGCTGGTTTTTGCCAAAACAAAGGGTCGCTTATTGAAAATACTGGTGTGCGAGTTGTGCTTTCTGATTTGTTATTAATGCCAGAAGGAATTTGATCATTTTGCATTATCTGAAACCTAAACCTCTCTACACCCTAACATCAGTATCTATATTCTCCATACTTTTCTCTGTACGATTCCTCTGGTACTGACAAGGAGAATTTGTTTAACAATCAAAGGTTCTTAAGTTGGTGATCATTTGCCTTATTCTCATTGTCTTAATGAATGACTCAGCAGTATTTTTGTAAGGAGAAATTAAATACTGGTCACTCCGAGGGTTCAAAGGGTTAAAAACATACATCTAAATAAAAAACTACTGAATACCTATAAATTCCCTTGTCATGAAAACCTTGCAATCCCATCAGAAATCTGAAAGAATCGTCCAAAAGCATCGATTTGAGGCTCGGTATGCTTCCTCTAACTCGCCCCAGGCTTGTCTCCGCACACTCGAAAAGGACCCGGAGGCTGAGAGACGGTCTGTAGGAGAAGAGAAGAGAAAGCTTCCTCCCCCTAACGAATTACTGCAGGACAATTAACATTAAAACAAATAAATTCATTTACTTCCTTGCTTCTTCTCCAGTTGTCCTTGGAGCGAGTTCATTCGTTTTCCTCACTTGGCTCATAAGCTTACCGGTTGTTCATTATTTCATATCTAACGGTGGAGAATATTTCTATTTTCATGG